TTCTTGATGCAGTTATTCTTTGGCCTCTCAAATTCCAAATGCTGTAGATGATGATAATATGAACTGCAAAGCTTAATTCAGTGCACTACTGTATAGCAAAAAATATTTGGCGCTCTCTTAATCAAAGTAGCCTTAAGCACCATCTTCCATGTCTTGACCAGAGAACCATGCTTCTAAACTAGTTGGTTTGCACGTAGCTATCATAGATGTTAGCTGGTTTATACTGGTCAGTAGTATGACCAATACCTCTATCTCTGAGTAACCCTGCTTCTTCGCTTTGAGTCACAAGGCTCCAGTGAGTGGGAGAAGGAATTAAATGCATATATTTTGCATTTAGTAGATCACATATATTTTCTAAAACATACGGCTTTTAAATATTCAGGAAAAACAATCAGTTGTGGGAAAACACTCTGGAGCAACTCTATTTTCTGTCATCTTTGAGTGCCCTCTAGGGGTGATGTAGATCCAATAATTCTTAAAAGCAGGTATCTGGTATGCACTCTAAAATGAGAGAGACTGTTAATTTTCCTTCCTTTAAACATGTATTAAACTGCTTTCTTTTTCATAGTGGCGTTTCCACAACGATAGACCCATTTTGGGACATCAGTTTGGATTTGCCAGGCTCCTCCACCCCGTTCTGGCCACTGAGTCCAGGGAGTGATGGCAGTGTCGTAAATGGGGAAAGCCATGTATCAGGCACCACCACTCTCACAGACTGCTTGCGAAGGTATGAAATGAGACAAACACAATTTTGGCGGGGTAAAAAGAATTTGGCTTCATTCTGTTCTCCAGGTGGCACTGAACAATGGGAGTAAGTGATGCTTTGTCATGGCATTATCCCCAAACAGCATTTTTATACATATTTTAGGTTTTTGCATAAGAGAAAGTGATAAGGCAAAGAAGGCTCAGAGCAACAGTAGGCCTAACAATAAGCAATCAAAACCAGTTGCTATATGATGCGAAAAGAAAATAAATTTTACATTGGCTGCTGCTAGGCAATGTGGTTTTAAATGATTGAAACCACTAGTGTCTGTCTCCATGTTTTTGGTTGTATTAGCTAAGCAAGCACATAAAGAGAGTTCACAATGCATTTAATATTTACCTAAATTATAACATCAAGTATGAATCTGATTTTGCTCTAAGCAGAGCTGAGGGTCAGCTACTGCCAGCTTAGTTGCGGGGATGGCATTAAGAATTAAAGGAATAGAGCTTTCAAAAAGAAAAGATAATTCTGAGCAGGAAACTTAGGCATCTTGGAAACAGGTAACTGGAGAGAATGTCATGGCTTCATTTACAGTAAACTTGGATCTTTTAGCAGATCTGAAAGTCATTCTCTTGTGGCAAATGCAGATATTTGTCGAAGATATTTGTCTGAGGAAGAAGTTACCTGTAGCCTGGGACAAAGCTAATCCTCCTGAAATAAAAATTCATAGCCTCTGACATCTGATTTCTAACCCTCTACTTTTAAGATCAATAATTTTAAGAAAACAATGGAATTACTACAAATGAGAAATCGCTGATGCAGGAATAAAGAGGCAAAACTGGTCGAATTTTGATTTTCTTCAACATGGGGTTTAGTAGAATCAGAGAGAGATGATGATAGGGAAGGAAAAAACATCCAGGTTCAAAGATACCCTCAAAGAGTATGGATTTTGGAAAGAAGTTGAACTCTAATGGATAAAGAGGATAGATCTAGGTTTTTACCCAAAAATTAGCGAGCAGCTTGAATGTTAGATTCAAACAAGGAAGGTGTGTAACTTCATGTCAACCAGTGTGGCCATGCAACTTGAAGTTGGCTTGAAGAAGGAAGGATTGAGCAGAAATATGGCAAAAACCAGAAAGAGGTAGGCACTCCTAACAACAACAACAACAAATTTATAAACCTTTTTACAGACTTAAGGGAGAAGAAAAAAAAAGAAAACCCCATCAAAAAACAAAACAAAGAACAGAGAATGGTGGTACATAGGCTAGGTAAAGGAAATCTTCTTTTTAATCAAACAAGAGGGGAGACCAGGAGGCTGTGATGATCATCTAACACTGGAGGCTGCATTGGCCATAAACAGAATGAGGCAAGATAGCGTTAGTGACGAGCTGATACCATGTTGCCCTCATGTGCTTAGCGTGTGCATTAATGTAAAATGTTCAATTACATTTCAAAATATTTTGTCTCAAAAATCCTAGTTGTAAAGCAGCATCTGGGGAGATGATTTATTTGCCCCGTGGAAGTCTAAACTGGGAGGAAAAGACTTAGTAGTCCATCCTCCTAGCCTTTTCTGTGCTGACAGTTTCTGAAAAAGTGAGAGGTATTTTGGTTTAGTGTGTTGTAAGAACATAGAGGTAGTATATTTTCTCTAAGCAGTTCCCTATTCTGTAATGGTCTCTTCCTATAGCTCCCTTGAGCAGTTCTGTCTGAAAATTTTGAAAGAGATTTTTCTAGTTGTCAATACTTGGGTTTTCTTGGAAGATACCTGTATTTTGAAAAGAACTTTGTGTTTACAGCCCTTTCCATCTCAGAGCTTTGATCCTAGCCCTGGAGGGCTACAAGCTAGAAGAGTGTCCTGCAGGCTAGCACACAGCTGAGCACAGAAGTCATGTCATCTTGCTTCGGAACTTCCACATCAGTGTTTTTGTTTTTGAAAACAAAAGATCTTTGCTTTTTGTATGAAAATTAGCTGTCCTGTTGTAGGAGATGAACTAACATTTAGCTCCTTTCTCAGACACTGATGCATTTCAGTGCAATGTTCCCAAGTAGAGCACTGATAAATGTCAGATTTGGCTATCTGAACCACAGCACTTTACGTTATTACAGGTGTTGGGTTTTTTTAAAATGACACTTAAAAGCCGTGAACTCTGTCTCTTGTGGTGCCAGTGACCTACAAGTAAAAGTAAAAGAAGTGTTTTCAGCATGTGTGGAAAATATCTGATCATTTTTTGCATCTCTTTGCTTTTTAATATTTTTTTCAGGTTTACAAGGCCAGAACATCTAGGAAGCAGTGCCAAAATCAAATGTAGTGGTTGCCATAGCTACCAGGAATCTACCAAACAACTCACTATGAAGAAGTTACCCATTGTGGCCTGTTTTCATCTCAAAGTAAGTTCACAGGGGGGCAGACAGAGCAGAGGATGTGTATTCCTCTCTGAGAGGATGGGCTAAAGTCCTGGACGTATCTTCTGGCTTTCACTGACTAATCTTCTATGATATAAATTAATGTAAAGAACAGCTTGCATGCCCAGCTAGATTTTCTATTATTAATTCTATAATGTAGCTTTGCAGTATGTCTGTGGGAACCTAACTCATCAGAATCTAGAATCAAAATGGAAGGCTAGTACAATACTTGAACCAGTGTAGAAACTGATCTCCAATAACACTTACTCATCCTGCATGGTAAATTTTTTACCCTACGCTTCTACTGGAAGAATGACACAGAGGAACTCTGCGTTGAAGGAAAAGCATGAAAAAGTTATTGGTTGCAATGGAGAAGGCTGCTTCTATCTTCACAATTTTGATGTAGTTTTCAACATTTCCAATCCAGATTATGTCAGATGCAATGACGGGAATAATGTCATAGTTGGTGCCCTCAAGAAAGTTTAGTCCTTTACAATTTGTGTCTTAAATATAAAGAGTATGACTGTGGTGCAAAGTAGGCAGCTATCGCAGATGAAGGTCATACTGCGTCAAGAGGCAAAGGGTCCTTGAAAAGCGATGCGACAGGCCTTTGTAGAAGCAGCTACCATACCATAGTAATTTAACTGCATCTTCGATCTGCTTGAGCTTTTCAGATGCAGACCTCTAAGGTCTTGAGTGTCTCCTGGGACAGAATGACAAAGTCCTCTCATTGCTAGGCAGCAACTGATGATCACTTACTCATGACCAGTGTTTCAAGAAACCGCTTATCTGATGATGATACTAATGTCACATAAGCTACATAAAGAAAAGCAGCATTTTACTTAACACCATGGTGACTGAAAACAGATTTTAAAATGGCAGCTGATATGCTGTGTACAAATGAAGCTTGTATCCCTTCTTTTTCCCATTGGGGAATGGTGAAATGAAAGAACACACGCTCCAGCCTTTTGCTCCAGAGACTTCGTTCAGTTTTTCAATTCTTACGTGGTTTCTAGGCTTTGAACTGTGGTAAAACACCTGGGTAACTTTAGTAGTGTTGGAAGTAGACCTTTATCTTGTAGCTGTCGTGGCAAAGTGCATGCTGAACTTCGCTGTAGGAAGCAGGCAGTTTTTCTTGTTTGTTTTCCAGTAGCCCTCTAAGCTAGGTCAGTACATTCATACTGGAAAATCTAATAATCTGTGTAACTATAGTGTCGTGGTCTCACTGAGCAAGTCACGGACTGTATTCAAGAAATGATTGTAGTTTGGGATTGTTAAATTACACAGCAACTCCGTATCCAGCGTAGCAGCAATTTAAAATTTATTTTCAAAATCTGGCTTGTACAAAAGCTTGTTAATGAAATGCAGAGGTCTTGACATGAAAACGGAATGCCACAGGAAGGTCTGTATTTCTGAGAAAGGACTGATTCTGCTTGCTACTTGGAAAAAGGTGTTACAGGTGGAAAGAATTGCCTCTCCTGTAACTTACAGGACTTTTTCAGACTGTTTGGGACAATCATGCCTTCAGATGTTCATCCCCATATACCAGCAGTTCTTCAGTTGCATCCTGAGTATTAACCAAGATGATACGCAATGTGATATGCCAGAGATACTAGCCTGACTGGAATAGATAGTAGCACAGTTCCTTTGTTCTTCTTTGGCTGTTTGTGGTCTTCCTGAAGAGCGTTCTTGCATGACTGACTTAAGGTTTCAGGAGTTGCTTGGCTGGCTGCTTGGCTTTTGGGGGGAGTTTTGGGGGTGTTGGGCTCTTGTTTTTATTTTATTTTTATTTCATTATTGCAGAGTAGTTGGCAAGATATGCCTAGGTGATTCTGCTCTTTGGACAGGGCAATGTGAATGTGCTCAACCCCTTTCCTACACTCAGTTCAGTATTTGTGTTATCCAGAAGGAGTGAAGATTTTTTTTGCAAATAAATTACTTTTCCTAAGTGATTGTGTTGTCCTGTCCATGCAAAATGCAAATTTCATTTCATGTGTTAAAGCAAAAAAGAAACACAGAAGATAAGAATTACAGAAGTCTCAGCTTTTCGTGTCTGGATCTGTTGCTAGGGAATTGTTATGGCACCACAATTGGAAAATAATTAACTTGAAGTGTAAATAGAGCAGAATTTCTGAGAAATGGGGAGAGAAGCTGCCTTTAAATAGAAACTCATTCATCTCTTTCTCTTACTTGTTCCTGTTTCCATTTAATGTTCAATTGAGAAGATGAGGAGAGGATGGTGGCTATTGGAGGCTCCTTTTGGCAGAGGGACAAGGCTTTTTTATTATCATATTCCATTTTTGCCTTAATTTGAATTGGTATTCCTGTGTAGGCTTGACTCCTGTCACCTGAGATGATTGGATGGGTGGATTAAGTGTGTGAATCTGATGGCAAGCTCACATTGTCACCAGTTTTGCGTGCTAGTGTAGGCAGCAGCCATATATTTGAATAGTGTGTAGTACAAATGAACACTGGTTTGGGCAAAGGCTGTGTGTGCTATCTCAATGTATTTTTTTCTTAATGTCAGTTGGGAATAAGTTTGTGTGTGTAGATATTAAGGTAAACAATCTAATGAATACTGTCTTTTTCCTCCATAAATTGTGGTTTATTTTCCTGGTAGAAATGTTTTAGCATTTACATGGGGGATCCCAGTCCAGCTAGTTGGTGGAAAAAAATCTGGGAGTGTCCCTGGCGACTGACTGCTAATATGCTTTCATGTCATTGTTCCTAAGCTTAGGACATTTACAAAAGACAGAAAATTTAGCCTTTCTCTAAAGAAAAAAAAAAATTCTTCCACTTTGTCTCCAGCGGTTTGAACACTCAGCCAAACTGAGGCGAAAGATCACTACGTATGTCTCATTTCCACTGGAGCTGGACATGACACCATTCATGGCTTCCAGGTGTGTACCAAGTTCAAAATACCCCAAAGACCTGGACAGAACTGTTTACCAGTTCATACATGTGCATCATGAAACATGGAACATCCTTGAATCAAGGTTGTAGAACAGTATGTATAATGATACTTCTGCTGTAAGCTTCTCCTTGAAATGTGCATCTTTTCTAAACTAATTTTTAGATGAACTATTGAGTTTTGTGTGCCAGAAAAGGCTTTATATTTAAACATTAATTTTTTTTTAATTGATGTGTGTTATGTTTCTGGTTGCATGTTAAATTTATAGACTCAGACCCACCGTGCCTTCAGCTCTCTGCTTTGGTCCCATCACCTGAGTGATCCCCATCAGTCATCTTGTGTAATTAGGCAGACTAGACATAACCTAATGCCTAACCTAGTATTTCTGAAGTTATAAAAATCCTTCCTCTTTATTCCTGCACACATGCAAATCTGGGTTTTTTTGTTTTGTACCTTCAACTTCTGTTTAGAGAATGCTGCAAGAAGAAAAAACAGTCTAGATTAAATAGGTATTTCTAATTGGTACTTAAACAGAAACAGTAAGACTTCTCCCACCTCTCAGGCTTGTGAAAGACATGACATTTATATAAATACACCTTTATGAAAGGAATTTTATTAGCTCGTTAACGAGTATTTGTCAGGTATTCCATTCAAATATAAATTAAATCTGAATATTCTCTTGTATATCTGAAGCAATGCAGAAAGCCCCAAAACATGGCATCTCTTAACGCAGGGGCTCTATTTGATGCTAAAATTTTACTACTAGTTTCAAGCTTTGCCTGCCCCCCACCCTACCCCCCACTCCCAGGAGAAAAGTAGATGCTTCTGCCAGGAGAGAAAGGAGAGCCCTGAAGCTCTGTTAAATAGTGTTATATTAAGAATATGTGGTTTATTCCAGTATATTCTGGAGATTTTGAGACTTCCCTGTTCCTCTGTGGTGAATTCTCCCTGGATAGAACAGGCTCTGCTGATGAAAGGTATCAAGCATAATGGAATATAGATGGGATAATCAGCAGGCATAACTCAGTAATCTGAATTTCATTGGCTATGAAATCAACAGCATAATCCTATTGCTGCTGTCAAAACACAAAATGAATTTACAAGTCAGAGCCAGGATGATTGACCCATCATAGGATAAAGGATTGATGTAATTAGATATTTTTCCAGGTTTAAAATACAAATCTTTTTCTTAAACTGTCTTTAAGGTTTCTGGATAGGACATTTGATGTAAACAGATCTGTATTTGCAGTGCTGAAGCCTTGACCGGGAGGAGAAATGGTGTTTCTTATGTAGCATTGCTGTGAGAACAAATAAAGCATCTTTAGCATCCTAATCAGCAGCCCTTCTCTGCTGCTAAGCAGCATTGTGCTTTTGAATAAGGACCTGGATTCGGCAAACAGGCTGTGTCATGTAAAACCTATTTCCTCGGTTTGGGAAGCCACTGCTTTAAGTGACTGGATTTTTGTGTGTGTGTGTTGCAGTAAAGAGAGCAGAATGAACGGGCAATACCAGCAGCCGACGGATAGTCTAAACAATGATAATAAGTAAGTGGTACATTCCATGACTCCTATTGTGAAAGGTAGTTGGCTTCTAGAAGGAGATACACAGTCTGCTGTATATCCTGCAGTGCAAAGTGCATTACCATATTTGACAGCACAGTAAGTCTGAGCTGTTGCAAAATAAAGCTTCATTCACTACAATTGCTTACCCTTTCATGGTTTTGTGGCAGCTGACTTTCAGATCTGAAGGTAATAACCCCAGCAATCGGTCTACGAGCAAAATTAAAAGCTATGGTTACAGTATTAAAAGGGATGGGTGTTTCCTTTAAATAATCCTACTTCTATTGCAATAGCAAAGGGAGTTCCGGAGGACCGAAAGAAAGTTTATAGAACACTGACACTCAAAGTCCCAAGTAGATGACCCCAGTAATTCTGGGGTCTTTTGGTCAGGTATTGATTCCAGTCAGAATAAGTGATGGGCTGATATGGGACTTGCTCAAGAGTGTAAAGGGAGTGTAGTTGAAACCAATATCCATAGCTTTGTGGGAGTAGAGATGGTCGCACAAACCTTATCTTTTTTTTAATACGGTTACAAGTGTGGTTGCTACAGTCGTGTGCTGATGTTGTGTATTTGAATTCTTCAAGGCATTTCATTTGGCACTAAAAGCTTCATTAAGAAACTGGAATCACACAATAGATAGATTTAAAAACTAGCTAACTAGGTCTTAGTGCAGTTGTCATACAAGCAGATACCAGGCTGGTGTTATGTGTGGTCCTATAGCGATTGATTCATTAGATGTATGGTGTTTAATAGTGTTAGCAAAGGTCTGAAAGAAAACACAACTGATCACTTTTGAGGTTTGCACATGACTTAAGTTGGAGTTGTTGTCAACAATGAAGAGGATTAGGTAATGAGAGCAGAGGCATCTGGGCTGCTTAGTAAGCTGGATGCCAGTAAACAACCGGGGCATCTTAGAATCCTCCATCTAGGACTAGAGAGTGGTGTCCATCCTAGTTGGATTAAAGGAGGCCACTAGGAAGAGGCTGACTTTATAAATCAGTGGCTCTGTAGACAGTCAACTGAATAGGTCCCTTGTTGCGGCACCGTGTCTAAAGAGCTCTAAGCGTGAATTTTGAACGTAAGTAGAACATATCAAGTGAGATTAGAGAGATTATTTTACCATTGTGCAGCAGTGTTTGTATCCCAGTTTGAGGATAGCATTTTAAGAAAGAGTTAAAAGAGAGTGGAGAACATTTGAAAAAGAGCCACAAGTATATTTAAGACTGGAAACAAAATCTTACCTTAGAACAGAAAAGCCAAGGACTTCAGTCTTCCCCTTTTTAAGAAAAGAAAAGGAAAAAAAGTTAAGAGCAACTTGATCAGTCTGTCAGTATCTTTCTTTGGAACAGAGATGTGTCTGCTAGTTTTCAGGCTAGCAGGCGAATGCACAGCAGGATGTGAAAGCTGGAAGTTGAGGCTGAGTATATTCAGTATTCAGAACAGGTACAGACTTTCCAGATTAAGGACAATTAATCAGTACAGTAATTTATCATTAGAAATATTTAAGATTACCTCCTTCCCCATCCCCATACCTCAAATGCGTTTTTTCTGGTTCACTAGAGTAACTATTTCAGGGAAGTAGGTTAGACTAGGTAATCAGTGGTCCTCTTCAGGAATGCATCGATATTGATCTATTTTAGAACAAAAATATTTGGAAGCCAGTATTGGTAAAGCTGACAGCTGTCATCAGACGGCAGTGTTGCAGTAATAGCAAGACAGAAAAAGAAAAATGTGGTTCTTTTCCCTGGGCAAGGATGCCCTCTTCCCAGCTAATGTTAAGAGCTGGTGTTTTATTGATGGATCAGATCCTTTGCTATTTCTATTCGTGTTTATGAACACAAGCTTCTGCCTGTCTAAAATGTCAGTTGTTTTTCCCCTTTTGATCCACTTATTCATTAACTCTTTTCTGTACCAGGTATTCCTTGTTTGCAGTAGTTAATCACCAGGGAACCTTGGAGAGTGGGCACTATACCAGCTTCATCCGGCAGCACAAGGACCAGTGGTTCAAGTGTGATGATGCCATTATCACCAAGGCTAGCATTAAGGATGTGCTAGACAGTGAAGGGTAAGTTGTGAACTGGAAAGGGGAAAGGAAGGGAAACTTGGACCTTTGTTGGGTTTTCCTTACTTTCAGTTGAAAGACCCTTTCATCATAGAGAAGACTTAATTTCTGTCTTTGAATATCTAATGTCTCTCTCTGTATATGTATCAGTGCTTCAGAATGTTGCTTTATAATGCTGGATTGTTGAAGGAAGAAGAGGGGAAGGACAAGGGACATCGGCTGACTCTGCAGTGTCTGTAACTGGTGCTCATGTCCAAACCCTGGCTTGCTAATGGAAGGGACTCTGAAAACCAAAGTGATGTGATCGTCCAGTGTAGGAGCAGGGGTGTTCCAAGTGTTTATCTCCATGACACGATCCAATCTTTGTCTGCAGAACCTTTGCATTACTATGAGTGTGAAAGATTTGAAGAAAAGCCATTAAGAAAATACTGTGAACCAGAGTGGCAAGGCTATATGGGGGGCAGGTATAGAACACAAGCTGTCTCTTAGCTCGTGGCTTTAAATTGATTTCAGATTGACATTATGGTTTCAGATATTTGCATTAGACAAGTATTGGGAGTGCAGAGCAGTAGTTTGGGAAGCATCTCAGTGTTCCTCATTTGAGGGGAGCATTGGGGACTGGTATATGTTTAAAGAGTAAGGTAACTTAAAATCTGAAGTCTTAATTTTGCATTTTTAACTATGGACTTGGTACTGGAAAGATAAGCCTTTATTGTTCTTGTTTTAATTATTCCTGACATTTCCGTGGATTGCTGCAGGCACACATGTTCAGTTTGTAATTTTTTTTAACAGATTTTCCTGTTTTTTCATTTTTTGAACTTCAACCAGGAAGTAAAAAAATCTATCCTATAATATCTGAATTTTAGTGTTAAATGATTTGACAAGGTAACTTCTGCTTTGAGGTCAGCAGAAAAATGAGTTTGTTTTTTCTTCAATGACAAGTGGCTAGCTCTGGTCCTCAGATGGGGTATGTCTGCGGAAAACACTGCCATAGGCAAGGAGGAGAGGATATGCGACGCAACTGCTGCCCATCCGTCTCATGAAAGGCTGGTTTGAACTCAGATCCATTTTCCCTGGTTCAGATAAAGGCTGACGCTAAGTAGATCTGCTTTATGTAAGGAAAGCTCCATAGGGCGTGAGATGGAACAATAATAATTGGAAAGTCTCAAAAGTGCTTTGAAGCGTTTTAAGAGAGTCATGCAGTGACCCTGTCAGTGTGTGGTGTGTAAAGAGTACGTAGAGATGAGTCCAGTTTCCCTCTGACACGTGACTGCTTGAGGGCTGGGCTCTGTTATGTAGCAGTACACATAAAGTAATTAAGGATAGGAAGAATTTCATCCTATTAAAACACCAGATTTGAGTACAGATTGAGACATTAGATATTTGAGTTGTTTTTGATTGAGACACATGAGTTTTCACCCACATGCCTGGTTCTTCGTTTTGCTTCTGTAGCAGTAAATGGCAGACAGTTTGCAATAATCCTAATGTCTGATGCTTTGGTAATGTGACTCCAAAGCAACAGTTGCATCTTAAAGCACCTCAGTTGTATTTTGTGTCATGATAGTGTTAAATGGATGCTGCCTGTCTGGGCACCAACACGGTCCAATCTTCCGGAGCTTTCAGCTTGTAAGTAAATTGTACAACAAGAGGGTTTGACTGTTTGATGTACAACTGTTCAGTTTCCTGAGTTGCTGGTAAAATTATTTCAGCTGGCTTCCCTCCTTCTCATCCATGGTTACTGTAGGGAACTGGCATGTCCCTGGAATCGCTTCAAATTGAAAAGAAAAACAAAATTAATAGTCCTCATTTTTTATCATCGCATCAATGGAAATACTCATCTGCTCCGACGCACAGCAGAAAGCTGAAAACTGTACCTCTGCTTTCTTGCAGATATTTGCTGTTCTATCACAAACAGTTCCTGGAGTATGAATAGCCTTACCCAGCAGCTTGTCAGATATAAACAAGGAAGAAAATAAGCAAGCCTTCTGAATCGACACACAAACCTACCTGAAATGAAAAGACCCATTAAAAAACAACTAGCACTGAGCTGTAACAGGACCTACTTGACACTGACTCAAAGCCTGGCGGAGTAAGAAATGAACAATGTCCAACGTGTATGCAGTCCCGCAAGGACAGAAAGGGGGAAAAAAGAGGCTACAGTCAGTCACTTAACAGAGGAAATATAAAATGAAAGGAATGCTCTGGGTGGGGGAAATGGGAGCAGAGGAGTCCGGGCACTGGTACATCTCCTATGTTCCTCCAAAATGTGTGTGGGAAGGCAAGGGGTTATACCCTCATCTCCATAAAGCATCTTCTCCATTTGGTGCTTCAGCTCCAACGACCAATCATATAACAGTTAAAATTAAAAATCCAAGCCCATTTTTTATGCATATGGGTCTGAAAGCAGTAGAGTGGAGGAGGAGGGGATGACACAACTAAAGGACTTTGCAAGTATCTTTTTATTTGTGAATTTTAGTTATTAAATAAATACAGTATGAAACTATTAGGCTCTTTTTTTTCAACAACCATAAAAGAAATCCTGGATTGTGGAACTGAAGCTACAGTACTAAGACAGGTTTTCAAGCATGCCTGCTTGCACAGGTAATGTTTAATGCCATCGGACTGCTCATCAAAAGCATCAGCACAGATTCTTTTCTGTTTGAGCCCTTTTTTGTTTTGTTTTCTATAAATAGCTATTTTCTTAATTTTTTTCCTTTTATTCCCTTTTTTCACGAGAATGAAATTCATAAATGCAACCATCAGTAAAAATGAATGAATTGGCGTGTTTATACTGTAAGAGTGGTCTTGGTTCTTTTTTTAAATCTTGTGAATAAGTTTGAATTTCTCAAAATTGCTTGTTTTGTTGTTGCTGGTTTCGGTTTGTTTTTTCCCCTGCTGCCTTCCAAAGGCATATATATGACACTTGAAAGAACCTCAGTATTGAAAAATGTACCATCTGTTAGAAACGGTTGCTGTTGGGGGCAGCACTGAGCGATAGATCTGCTGCTACTGAGCACTTCTGCAGTGCACTCGGTTTTTAAGTAAACAACACGTTTTCCTGGTATGTGCTAGGCTGGTATTGGTTCCTTGTATCCTCCCACATGTATTAACTCCTCACGTACTCTTCGCCTCCGTATTGGTGTCCTTAGCTTGCAGCACTTGGTGCACCAGCTTACTCTGGCTTTGTCACAAACGCAGTTTTGCTCCTTTTCTCCCCCTTCACCGCTGTCTTTTGAAAGCAGCTTGTTGAGATACCAGCAGTAACCGCTGGTGTACTGTATCTTGCTGTCAGGAGGCTGGGCTGTGGATTGAATTGCAGCCTGCGAGAGAAACGATTCAGAACATAGAGCTGAAATGGGCAAAAATAGCTTCGTTCTCCCTTCCTCAGGGAACCTATGTGGAGCTATGTGTAAGAGTTAGGCACTGTGTAAATTGGTGTAGAAGTCACACCAAAAAGGTCATTAAGTTCTGCATATATATCCAGACAGCCATTCTTTGACTTTACCAGTGTGGTTAAAAACAGTTGGATTGCTCCAACTTCTTAGATTCTGTGCTCTAGAAATGAGTTACAGGTGTCTAACCTGCCTGAGACAGAGGTGGGAAGTGATCTGATTAACAGAAGAAATAGGAGGAAAATAAGGGAAGCAGGTTTGTTTGTTTTTTAAATGAGCATCTTACAAGAGCAGCTGAACAAAAGGACGGTGGAATTGCATTTCATTTTTACACAGACTGGAAGAGTACAAGGCAGTTTTGTACATCAAGAGATCTCTGTGGCAGCTTGCAACAGGGAAGGAAGAAGGGACAATTAATTGAAGCACCTTGAATACCAAATCAGACACAGAAAATGTACCGAACAGTGTGGGAGTTACCTAGGCAGCCTGATTTCTGCAGAAGTGATAGCATACTCGGGTTTTGTAACCTGTCTTTCCAAACACGCTTGAAATAGTTTTCAATTGTAATTGGGTGCTGCAAGATTTAACCTGAGCGTTCTTGTCGCAAATGAAAATCGGCTGGAGAAATGCAGATGAATGGCGCACCCGCAGGAAAGGGGGCCCCTCCCTCCCCGAATTGGGCACGCTATCGTGCAGATGCTTGACGGCGCTTTCTGCTACCTTTTAATAATGCAGCAAGCTTGCAGAGGAAGACAAGAATCAGCCTTTCATTATTCCCAGGGCTGCTGCAGTTGGCGTCCGCACCTTGTCCTGTTGCTGGAGGAGGAGTGCCACCGCGCGGCAGATGGGTTTTGCGGCGCGGGGATGCCTTTGCTTTGTGATGCTGAGGTCTGAGCCTCTGGCTGCTTTTTTTGATGCTGGAGCCTGGAACAAATGAATTCTGTTTTCCACTAGCACGCGCTTGGCCACCGGAGCTAATGCAGTCTGTTTCGTTAATCCTTTAGAAACAAATTGGTTAGGGACGATGCCAGCCACATAAATCAGCCTTAATTTTTTTCCCCACCCCTGTAAGGCTGGTGAAGAGGGCTGTGCTCTGTGCAACTGCACCGGTACAGATGGTTTTCAGTGGGAGATAGAGGGTGAGGTAGATTTCAGTGCTCTGTTTCTGGTTTCAAAAGAATTCCTGATGTATTAAAAGCTGTTATTCTCTTCTTTCCCCCGCCACCCCCTGTGTCTCTCCCTGAACCGTACCCGGCATGTTTCTATTTCCAGTAACAGTAAATCAGCACAGGTTGCTAGAGGAGGAGAGAGCATTTTCCCCTCTTCCTATAAAAATGGAAGAACAGCTGCTGTCACACGAGCAGCACTACCCCTCATGATGCTTTTTCTCAAACACAGCCTTCTCTTACCCTCATCTCTTCAGAAGCAGCCACCCAGCTCGTACACTGGGTTTATTCCCTGCAGAACCGGGAGGTTTCTCTGTGCAGAACTCTCTTAACGTCACCTTTAGGAAAACGCCGACCACAAAGCGCCTTGCTGTGCAGCAAGACGCTAACGAATGGCTGATGAAGTTATGCCTCCCTGATGTGCTGGCAGACAGCAGTGAAAGGCTGCCTCCTCCATGAGCGATGACTGCGCTGCTTCAGCTGCTGACCCTCTTCATTTCGGGGAGCAGTTTGGGGTTGACTTGTTTATTTTGAGGTACAGTTTTATATCAGCACAGCTTAGTCTGTTGTGAGGAAGCATCTGCAGAAATGACTGAAAACAAAGGCTGGTGTGGTGATGCAGGCTCATGTTGGAGTGTGTGTTCTGTTATCTACCAGCAATGAACATGGCTCTACATAGGGCACAAAAATACAAAGTGGCTTTTGGTATAATATTTTCGTGTCCCTCAGCCACTTGACTAGAGATAAAGCTTTACTTGATGCTGGTGCCTAATGAAAACCTGAGCAAAAGCAGAAATATGAGAATTAATTAAACCCCCAGATGGATGCTTTTGCTCAAAATCATTGCCCTTAATTCCATGTAGTTTAACTCATCCCAGCAGTAACTGCTTGTGTCCCATACTTACCATGTCCCTCTAATATTCAAAGTGATGTCTCCAGGTGTGCTCCATCAGAGCTGTTGGCCAGTGGCTGCAAATGTGATACCAAATCCCTGGATTCCTCTTGGTTCTCCAGCATCTAAGGGTTGTATCTGGGAGCCTGTGTATTATTCTCGCTGCTGATTTGTTCAAGTTGCTCCATTTTACCTTTTCTTTTATATGCTGATAACAGTAGTTACATTCCCTGAAGAAGGAGAGCACGTCTGTGAGGGTGAGGAATGCTCCCCTCTTGCGTATCGATGCTGGAGAGAAGGACTTGGCTTCTGATGAGTGTTTTCCCCAGTTTCTGGGACACAAATGATGCTGGCTGCCGTAGGGTGTGTTGCTGCTTCCTCCGTCTACTGCAGCTGGAGAAACCAGAGAAGCGCCAAGCAGCAGCCTGGACAGCGTGGTGACGGGAGGGACAGCCCCAGCCCAACACCGGCTCTGCCTCGGTGCGAGAAGGCGAGTGGCCTCTTGGGCCAGCTGGAGCAGGAGCTGCTGCTTGCCAGTGCCACGCAGGGTGAGCTCTTGTGCTAGCTGGCATAAATGCTTTCCTAAAAGCTTTCTCGTTTAAATAATTGATGCCTCTTGATCCTCAAGAGATGCCCTAATTGCAAAACTGGTGGCACACGTTCCGTTACTTCTATCCTATTTTTAAATAAGGTTCTGAATCTCCTCGCACAAGTAGCGTGGCCGGGGGTTCCCACGGGTGACGAGTGCCTGTCCCTGGAGGTGACACTTTGAGCGTCCGCAGGGCACCGGAGCCGGGCTGAAGCCGTGCGTCCCCAGCGCTGCCCACAGGAGCTCCGTGCTGGGAAGGGGCATTATGACGAGGCGCCGCGTCTGCTTACGAGTTTTCCTTCTCCTGGAGCCCCCGTCCTCACTGGGAAGCGCTTGGGCAGAGGGGGGCACGGGGCTGGGGGCTTTCCCAGCCCCGGTGCCGGTGGGGATGTGCTGGTGCTGCCCCGGGGTAAGTGCAAAACGCTGCAGAGGCTGAGAGGGGGAGGCTGCAGGGAGGGGAAACCAGGAGGAGGAAGAGAGGCAGTGCTTTTGGTGCCAGGGAGGCCAGGAGGCCGGTGGGGGGAGGCCCAGCCTGAGCGGGAGGTCAAGCTGGTGGGGAGGCCAGGCAGGAGTGGGAGGCCCAGGGAAAGTGGAGGACATAATGCTGTAGGAAGCCGTAGAGGGAGCGGGACACTGAGCAGCAGTGGAGGGTGAGGAGAGGCCGAGAGGCTTTGGGAGGGCAAGCACAACCAGGAGCCTGACGGATAACAGGGGCAGGGCAAAAGGCTGAGGGAGGTGGAAGAGGAGTGTGAGGATGAGCAGGAGCGGAGGCTGAGCAAGAATGCGAGTGGAGACTCTTGGGGAGACTACAGGGTGTAGGAGAGGAAAGGCAGAGCAAGAGCGGATGCCGGAAGACGACGGGCAGGCAAGAAAGAGTAAGACCGAGCTGGAACGGACACCGAGAGACTGGGGGAAGCTGATGTAGGGGTTAGTCTATACAAAGATGCAGGCTGAAGAGAAGTTGAGGCTGAGCAGGGGTGGGAGGCCAAAAGGGGGGTGGGAGGCCGAGGAAGAGTTGAGGCTGAGCAAGGATGGGAGGCCCAAAGGGGTTGGGAGTCTAAGGAAGAGTTGAGGCTTTGCAAAGGTGGAGACCAAAAGAGGGTGGGAGTCTGAGGAACAGTTGAAGTTGAGCAAGGGTTGAGTCCAAAAGGAGGTGGGAGTCCAAAAGGGGGTAGGAGGCTGAGAAAGAGTTGAGGCTGAGTATGTGTGTGGTCCAAGGTGGCTTTTGGAGGTTTAGAGGAATTGGGATGCTAATGATGCCATGGTATTT